GTAGGCCGAGCACTCCTCTTTCAAATGAAAGTGCCAAAATGTTTTTGGGCTGATGCCGTCTCTTCAACTTGTTTTTTAATAAATCGTATGCCATCTTCTGTACTTCATGGTAATATTCCTTACAATATTCTTTTTTTCTCTAAGCCATTATTTCCTATTGAACCCAAAATATTTGGTTGTACTTGTTTTGTTCGTGATGTTCGTCCACAAGTAACTAAATTAGATCCAAAGGCCCTTAAGTGTGTGTTCTTAGGGTACTCACGTCTTCAGAAAGGTTATCGGTGTTATTCTCCAGATCTCAAAAGGTACTTAGTGTCTGCCGATGTCACATTCCATGAAAATTATCCGTTCTTTTCTTCATATGTTTATAACAGTCCTGAGGAAGAAGATGATACTTTGGTCTACACTGTCACACATCCAGTTAGTTCTCCAACACCTCTTCCTCAATCACCCGTTTCCCTCGATCGACCATCCGAGCAGCCACCTGTTCTTCGTGTGTATACCAGGCGACAACAAACCTCAGAACCCGATCCTTTACCTACTTCTGCTTCGTCGGTAAATCCAACCTCTTGTGTTTCAGATCCTAGTTTGGATCTTCCTATTGCCATTCGCAAAGGTACACGACAATGTACTTATCCTATTTCTTCTTTTGTGTCTTATGACCATTTGTCTACTTCTTCTAGCTCGTTTATTGCATCATTAGATTCTGCTAGGATACCTAAAACTGTTCGTGAAGCATTGTCCCACCCATGTTGGCATGATGCAATGATAGAAGATATGATGGCTTTAGATGAGAATGGTACTTGGGAGTAGGCCGATCTGCCCACTAACAAAAAGGCTATTGGGTGCAAGTGGGTATTTGCTGTTAAGTTTAACTCCGATGGGACAGTAGCTCGCCTTAAGGCACGTCTTGTTGCAAAAGGGTATGCACAGACCTATGGAGTCGACTATTTGGATACTTTTTCCCCGGTCGCCAAGTTAGCTTCTGTTCGATTATTCATTTCCATGGCAGCTACTTATGATTGGCCTCTGCATCAGCTTGATATAAAGAATGCTTTTCTACATGGAGATCTTCAGGAAGAAGTATATATGGAGCATCCACCTGGGTTTGTTGCTCAGGGGGAGTATGGAAAGGTATGTCGTCTTCGAAAATCTCTTTATGGGCTGAAACAGAGTCCTCGTGCTTGGTTTGGCAGATTTAGTGAGGCTGTTCTAGAATATGGGATGAAGAAAAGCAATTGCGATCATACGGTGTTTTATAAAAAGTCTGATGATGGTATTCTTTTATTGGTAGTATATGTTGATGACATCGTTATTATTGGAAGTGATATTATAGGAATTTCAACTCTAAAGTCTTTCCTTCACACTCAATTTCAGACGAAAGATTTAGGGCAACTAAAGTATTTTTTGGGAGTTGAAGTTACACGGAGCAAGAAAGGCATCTTCTTGTCCCAAAGGAAATATACTCTTGACTTGTTAGCTGAAACTGGAAAGTTGGGATCTAAACCATGCAGCATGCCAATGGTTCCTAACACACAACTCGTGAAAGAAGACGGTGAGTTATTCGAAGATCCAGAGAAATATAGGAGATTGGTTGGGAAACTGAACTATCTTACAGTAACTCGTCCCGATATCGCATACTCTGTCAGCATTGTGAGTCAGTTTATGTCTTCCCCAACAGTCAGGCATTGGGCGGCTCTGGAGCAGATTCTTTGTTATCTAAAGGGATCTCCAGGACGGGGTCTAGTATATAAGAATAATGAACACACTAACATTGAGTGTTTCACAGATGCAGATTAGGCAAGGTCAAAAGTCGATAGGAGATCCACGACAGGATATTGCGTTTTTGTTGGTGGAAACTTGATTTGGTGGAAGAGTAAGAAACAAAATATCGTATCTCGATCTAGTGCGGAAGCAGAATACAGAGCTATGGCACAATCTGTGTGTGAGGTTGTATGGGTACATCAACTATTAAGTGAAGTTGGCTTCTAAACTACATTGCCAGCAAAGTTGTGGTGTGATAATCAAGCTGCTCTTCATATCTCCTCTAATCCTATATTTCATGAAAGGACTAAGCACATTGAAATAGATTGTCACTTTGTTCGTGAAAAGATTCAACAAAAGCTCATCTCTACAGGTCATGTTAGAACTGGAGATCAATTGGGAGACATTTTCACAAAAGCTTTGAATGGAGCTCGAGTTGAATATATCTGTAACAAGTTGGGCATGATCAATATATATGCTCCAACTTGAGGGGGAGTGTTGACATACAAGTTGTCTAGCACATGTATACACATGTACTACATCATAGCTAGCACATGTATATGAGTTACATAGCTAGCACATGTATATGAGTTGTATAGTAGGTGTAATACAAGTTGTGTAGCACATGTATACACATGTACTACATCATAGCTAACACATGTATATGAGTTGTATAGTAGGTGTAATTAGGTGTATGACAACTAATAGATTAGGTGAATTAGTATTATAAATAGGCCTTGTAATCTTCTCTTCTAGATATGAAATATAGAACTTCTTTGGTTTCTAACACTCCTATATTAGAGTACTGTGATAAAATCTCATTGCCAGCAAAAGTTTGCAAACTCTTACCAGTATTATCTAGAAGTTGATTGCAGTTGCAATTTATTTGACTTGGATTTGATTCGTGCAGGAGACCATGCCTCGGAGCAACATCATCATCCTTACTAATCCATCATCTAAACTTCCTGTGGAGAGAGATAGACTGACCATTCTACCCATTCAAGGTGATTATTCACGAGAAATGTTGATGCTACAAAGAATCAGGTCTTACATTGTAAGAGAACAGTTCATTATTATGAAGGGTATTTTTCCTTTTATGTTGATTTTGGCTTCATAACTTCCCCAATTCCTACTATTTTTTCAGCATGCTAGGCGTGCTTCAGATTATTTCTTGTAACTCGGGAAAATCACCTTTCCACACCGAGATAAGCTAATTGGCGACATGTATATTTGCATTTTCCAATGCACGTGGGCCTTTTCTGTCCTTGTACAGTTGAATCATCCATGAACATTTGTTGTTATCTGAGAAAATCATCATGTCCTTGTACTGTTGAATCATCCATGAATATTTGTTTGTATTTCTTTTGTCAGGGGGAGGGGGTGGTGGGTGTTCGGTTGGCTAGTATTAACTATTAGTGGAGCTTTCGCCTTTCATTGCAGAGCTAATGCAGAATTGTAAATTTGATACTTTCTTGTCGTGCTATAACATTTTTTGTTTGTTTGTTTCCAGTTTTGGTCACTACAATTTAGTGTCTAAATGTTTCCAGAAAGTGTTGAGCGATTGACTACGACAATGGAATGTAAAGATATAGTAAATGAACATAGTTAAAAATATCATCTTTTGTATTTAAGTGTTGATGTCCAGATATTATCTTACTTGGTAAATGTATTGCAAAATATACTATCATTTCTCGATTTCTGTCAATTTGTCGAGTCTAATTCCCTTAGGAAATTTTAGATGATTTGACTTTTATATCATGCATGGTATTCTTTTTTGCTTATAGTTTCTAAATCCAGGTCTTTCTAGAAACACGAGCTATGGAGCATTTAAAATGGAAGGGGCAAGTGAATCATTACATCTTTACCGACTCGGATATAGCAGTGGTTGATGACTTGGGGCAGATATTTAATGATCACCTTGATTTTCATGTGGCTCTAACATTCCGTAACAACAAAGAGCAACCTCTGAATTCAGGATTTATAGCAGTGAGGGGCACTCCTGAGGGAATTCTAAGGTTTGTTGGTTTATGTACTATTCTCCCTGAATTTAGCCCTCGGTATCTTATAATGGTGATTGGCTTGTGTGCTGGATAATTTTAGATCATGCATAGCAGCAAAGGGTGCTCCTCTGTGAATTCTAAGCTTGTAGGTGTTCTAATCTGTAGTTCTGATATTTATTTAGGAGGACTGTCTAGTAGGAATCCTGTAGATTTAACAGATGTTTCTTGGTTCATATGTTTGAAATTTTGAAAACTTGGGATTTTACTATTGTCTGTTTTCTTAGTCAGGACGTACTTAGTTTCTTTTATTAATTTAACGGCAGAACTTGGAGTTGCTTTTGTTTACACCTCTTCCTAAAGCCACTATAACTCCTCAACTGTGCAGAGCAAGGTTTTTCTTGGAAGAAGTACTAAAAGTCTACACGACAAAGTTCATGAAAGCTTCCAGAATGCTCGGGGATCAATTAGCTCTTGCCTGGGTTGTAAAATCTCACTCTTCCTTTGATGTTCAAAGGTTTACCAGAAAACAAGCATTTACTGACCGAATTAGTGGCGCTTCAGTGCTATTCTTGCCGTGTTCCATTTACAACTGGACACCACCAGAGGGCGCCGGTCAATTTCGTGGGATGCCCTTGGATGTTAAGGTACAGTTTTGGTTTAGGCTTGTTTTGGGGTTAAGGAATATAAATTGGTAAATTTATAGTGAGAGTTTCCGAAATTACTCTTGAATTTCTATTTAGGGAGTTGTAATCTATTGACATATAAATGCGTAGATGGTTATCAATTAAACATACATATAACTGAAACAAAATGTCCAAGTGCATTCTCCATGTTAGAATTTCAGAACTCTGATTCTCCATTACTTTATATATGTAGTAAATTTCTTGTACAGTTTTACTGTTGCTAAAGTACAGTCAGACTCCTTAATCACTTCCACCTGGACCTCTTTAAGGGAAGAGATGCTGTTTACAGCTATTGAAAATCTGAAAAGAATCAAGAGTTGGTAAACTTCCAGTCACATGATGAACAGTATACTTCATTAAATGAGATTATGAAAGGATGCCTGGTTTCATTCTGAGTTTTTTCAACTCATTTTTGGGCACAGGTAGTGCATTTTAAGGGATCAAGAAAGAGACTTATGCTGGAGTCTTGGAGCTTCTTAAAGTCATCGTCATTTTCAGATATTCCTGATATGTTATGCCTAATCCTGAGAAGTGGCAGGACGAAGTACGATTTCTAGTTTAGATTACCTTTGGTTATACCAGTCAGAGGGATCTATCTTGAGTAACAAGGTCCACACATGAAAGAATGACCGGGCTGTTTGAGGTCATTGGTAGTAATGTACAGTCAACATTCACCAATCATGCCAAATGGAAACTGAGCCTAAGTCAATGGTTCAATATTGCTGCTCAGTTTGTGACTTGCAGAGATTCAGATGACAGGTGGTTTCTAGCTGTAATTTTTCTTATTTTTTGTGTAATAATTATATGTAAGTTCTTGAATGTCAATAGTTCCATTCTTTCTTCTCTAGAAATTTCAACAGGATCAGTATTGATATTTCTATAGGAACTTCACCACTGAATGCTCCTTTTATGCTATGGAAAAGATACCAGTATTCCATACAAGTTTTTCACTTGCAACTTCACATTTCCATTGTCTATTGCCATATTGGCTTTTGGTTCTCGAGAATCTGTTTCCTGATTACAATTTTGTCTCAAGCATAATTTAGTTCCTCATAAAAGAAATGTACTTATGTCTCAAGCACAGTTATTTAGTTCTTGAGCATAAATCATTCCTAAATTTTGAGAACGGGATATCTGATTAAAGGTGAAATTTTGTCTTTCATTTAGAGGTAAGAATCTACCTTTAACAAGAGGTCTTAAGCTACCTTAGAAATGAAGAACCTTTTGGTAGGAAACATGTTTTATTCCCTTATGGGTCGTTTGGTTTGTGATCAAGTTATAGTGTATTGAGACTATAATATGGGGATTATAGTACGAATATTAAACGGAAAAGGTCCAAATATGTCCTTATATTATATGAAATTGAGCACATTTGTCCTTAGTTAGTACTTTAGCCCATATGCCCTTACCGCCACATAGTTGGTCTATATGCCCTTACCGTCACATTGTTCGTCCATATATGCCCTTTTTCGAAACGGAATCTACCCAAACTAATTAGCTCTTTCTTTAATTGTATTAAAGTGTATTATAGACACTATCTCCTTTTTATTAGTATTTTTTTCTCTACCTTTCTCTTTTTTTCTTCCTTTTTCTTTTCTTCTTTTTTTTTTCCCTTTTTCTTTCTCCCATATCAGATTTCCTCCATTGCTGATGCCTTCTCTATTTCCATCACCAATTTCACGTGATTTTATTCCTAAAAATCAAACCTACATCACCAAAAGCTTCCAAGCGAGAAGGCTCTGGTTCTTCTGAAAAGAAGGAGATGAAAATTGTTTGAGAAATTTTTTCGGTGGTGTTAATTTGGTGAAGGTAGGATATGGTTATCCAGCATTTGAAAGTGTTGTTCACCGTGGAGCTTCAGATCTGAAGGGAATAAGACCTTCAAAATCTGAATAACTATATCCTACCTTCACCCAATTAACATAACCGAAAAAAATTCGCCGATAATTTTCATCTTTCAGGTCGGAAGAACCTGTGAAGTTTGTGATAGTAAAATTAGCAGGAATTCATGAGTTTTGTCAAGTTAAATTAGTGGCGAAAATGGAGAAGGCATCGGCAATGGAGGAACTCGAATATGGGAGAAAGAAAAAGGAAAAAAAAAGAGAAGAAAAGAAAAAAGAAGAAAGAAAAGAGAAAGGTAAAGAAAAAAAAGTACTGTAATAAAAAGGAAAAAATGTTTGTTATACATTTTAGTACGATTAACGAAAGAACTAATTAGTTTGGGTGGATTCAGTTTCAAAAATGAAATATATGGACCAACTATGTGACGGTAAGGGCATATATGGGCTAAAGTATTAACGAAGAGAAAATGTGCTCAATTTCGTATAGTACAAAAATATATTTGGATCTTTTCCGAATATTAAATAATGATGAAAGTTTTTAGTGGATACACTTTTTTTATTTATAATTTTAACCTTGACTTCGTAAAAGACTTTGAGAGGAGTTTTGGAGAAGCGCAAATGTGTTGTTTCATTATCCGGTATTATCTCTCATAGAGTACGGTAAAGAAATTAATACTACAATTGTGATATAAACAATTTCGAGCTTACTGATTCGTAACAAAAGAAATTCAACCAAACGCGATGTAAAACAATTTCACATTATCCCTTATCTTGTAACCAAATGACCCCTTAAGTGACTTTCCCGTGAGAATCAGATCAGGGAGTGCCTAGATTTTGAATAACAGATGTTTATAGCAAAATAAAAAGAAAAAGAAACGAAAATTGCAATCCTATTTTTCCTTCTAACACTTTTTATATTACTCCACTATTTTCAAATTTATATGATTCTTAAATATTCCAAAATGTTTCACACGACTTCATTTCTCCGTAAACTTCAACAACTTTCAATAATTTGAATTCATCATCATCAATCGCTAATATATTACTACTATTTAAATCAAATTAACATTTTAAACCTCATTCTTAGAGAGACACATAAAACAAAGAAAGAACAATAATAACAAACCCAATATTTGTTATAGGCGAGGTTTGGGGAGGATTGTGCGTACGCAAACCTTATCCCTATATAGTGAAGGTAAAAATGTTGTTTTCAATAGACCATCGGCTCAGAAAAGGTGAGAAGAAGAAGAAGAAGAAAAGGCAGAGAAAAGAAAAGGAGGGAAAAAAGAATAAGTAGTAACAACAGGGAAATACGATAATTGAAACGAACTAAATAACATGACGTAATATAGATCTGGAGAATATGAAGGTACATGAGTACTGCTAATACTAGTACTGATAAGCAAAGGAGAAACTTTTAACTTTCAATTGCCTACTAACCTACCCTAATCCTTGACATTCACACCCTACTATCAAGGGTCATGTCCTCAGTAAGCTGAAGCAGCGCCATGTCCTGCCTAATTACTTCTTCCCACTACTTTTTTGGCTTACCTTGACCTCTTCTCAAACCTGTCATGGCCAATCTCTCATACCTCCTAATAGAAGCATCAATGCTTCTCCTCTTAACGTGCACAAACCGTCTCAACCTCGATTTCGCATCTTGTCCTCCATGGAGGCCACTCCCACTTTGTCCCGAATAACTTCATCCCTAATCTTATCTCTTCTGGTACACTCGCTCATCCATATCATCATCCTCATTTCTGCTACTTTTATTTTCTGCACATAAGAGTTCTTGACTAGCCAATAATACAACATAGTTGGTCGAACTACCACTCTATAAAAAAATTCTCAAGTCTTAGCGGCACATTCTTATCACATAGAACATCGGATATGAGCCTTAATTTTATCCATTCTGCTCCAATACGACGTGTGGAATCCTCGTTAATCTCTCTGTTACCTTGAATAATAGACGTGAGATACTTGAAACTACCTCTTTTGGAGATAACTTGAGTATCAAGTTTCACATCCACGCCTGCTTCACAGAATTTACACTCCAAGTATTCTGTTTTGGTCCTGCTCTACTTGAAACCTTACCAATGTATGTCTCCAAACCTCCAACCTTGCGGTAACCCAGCCTCGTGTCTCGTCGATCAACACTATATTATTGACAAATAACTTGCACCATGTCACCTTTCCTTAGATGTGCCGCAAGAGCACGTCCATCGTCAAGGCAAGTAAAAACGAGCTAAGAGTTGATCCATGGTGCATCCCCATCACAACTGAAAGTGTTTCGATTCACCTCTCATAGTCCTCACTCGAGTCTTAGTACCACCATATATATCTTAAATCATCCTAGTGTACGCTACCAGAACATCGTCAACCTTCAAATACCTCCACATAACTTCCCTCGGAACTTCATTATACGCTTTTCAACGTCAATGAACATCATATGCAAGTCCTTCTTCCTTTCTCTATACTGCTCCACTAATCTTCTCATAAGATAAATAAATTCCGTAGTTAAATGCCCCGGTATGAATCTGAAATGGTTCTCGAAAATAGAAAAAGGAAGGAGTACAATTTTTATATCTAAAAAAAATTCTTGCAAAGTGTTATAAATATATATTATATTATGGATGTTCATTTAGTACTCCGTTGTAAATAAGCTTCCTNTAAGCCTAACCTAAATGACACTGAGGCTGTGAATCTAGGAGACGTTGATAACGTCCAAGAGACCAAAATTAGTATCCACATTGAGCCGAGTGTCAGAGAAGAATTGATCAAAACCCTCATGGAATTCAAAGATGTTTTTGCATGGTCATATGACGATATGCCTGGATTAAGCACCAATTTAGTGGTTCACAAATTGCCCACTGACCCGGCATNGTACACTATTGGAAATAAGCTTCATGAAGAAGCTTATCATTTCAGTACTCCGTTTGGATAAATATTACCTCCGACAGAAGATTATCTATATCTGGTACAGTAGCAACTTACAAGCAACTTACAAGAAGCTTACACAACAACTTGTAGTAGCAGCTTACAAGCAACTTACAAGCAGCTTACACAACAGCTTGCAGTAGCAGCTTACAAGCAACTTATATGCAACTTACACAGCAGCTTGCAGTAGCAACTTACACAGCAGCTTGCAGTAGCAGCTTACACAGCAACAGTAGCATACAAGCAACTTACACATCAACTTGCAGCAGTAGCTTACAAGCAGCTTACACAGCAACTTGCAGCAGCAGCTTGTAACAGTTTCCTTTCTTCTATAAATAGAGGGGATTTCAGTTCATTATGTACATGAATTTGAAGTTGAATAATAAATTTCTCTCTCTCTCTCTCTCTCTCTACTTGGGGGGGTGAGAGGGGTGGGTTGGGAGATAGGGCGGGGGTTAGGGAGTGGGTTGGGAGGCAAGGGAGGTAAAGGGAACAAGGGTGTTTATCGGTTGCGAATTGGGTCATGGAACGTAGGTACGTTGACAGGTAAGTTTATATAGTTGGCGAAGATCCTCTAGAAGAGAAGGGTCAAATAGCGTGTGTCCAGGAGATAAGGTGGGTAGGGTCGAATGCGAGGGACGCGAACGGGTATAAACTTTGGTTCTCAGGAACCTAGAAGGGTAAGAATGGAGTGGGTATTTTTGGTGGATAGGGAACTTAGAGAGTCTGTGGTTGAGCTTAGACGAGTGAATGATAGGTTGATGATTATTAAGTTGGTGGTAGGTCAATGCACCCTAAACGTTGTTAGCGCCTATGCGCCTCATGCAGGCCTAGATGAGGAGGTTAAATGACGCTTTTGGGATGGGTTAGATGAGATTGTACGTCAGGTACCACATGCTGAGAAGTTATTTATAGAAGGAGATTTCAATGGTCATATTGGGTCAACCGTTTGTGGGTATGACGAAGTGCATGAAGGCTTCAGTTTTGGGGAGAGGAATGGAGGAGGAACCTCGTTACTGGACTTCACTAAGGCTTTTGGATTGGTGATTGCGAACTCTAGCTTTCCGAAAAGGGAGGAGCATTTGGTTACTTTTCAAAACGCGTTGGCACAGACTCAAATTGACTATCTCCTCCTTAGGAGGTCTGACAGAGGGTTGTGCAAGGATTGCAAGGTGATTCCAGGTGAGA